TGGATTTTCTTCTGCCCCTTTGCTACCAGTCTTTTGGAAGGATATATGTGGAGGTGGGAACATTCTAATCCACACTCTTGTCTGGCTATATTTAAAGACAGATCAATATGAGAACGGATGGGAAGTGGGAAACCATGCTGAGTAAGCAGATCACTAGTTTCTGCGACTTTCCTCATCAGAAAAGTTCTCCCTTAAGATTAGCCTATTGCTATCACTTAGTATTATGTTTCATATACCAGTGAATATTTCTTCTTCTCTGAAGCATAATTTTCCATGTGCAAATAAATAGCCTCATTAATGGAAATAAGCAAAAAAATGGACACAAAAACTGTGAGCAGGGACAGCAGTAACAACAAACACCTTATTTCATTTGTAAAAAATGAGGAAACACTGGTTCAACCAGCCCACAACGCTAGAAAAATGGTCAGACTGAACCACATAAAAGTTTTGCTGTCTGCATAATTTCTGCTAGTTAGATGCTATTAAAAAAATCACTCTGCTTTGAGTTAAAGAAATTAAGCTTAGGGGATGTTTATTCATAATTTAAGCTAGTTAATAATAAAAAAGTAATATGAAGAAAAACTGACACTCTCCATTTCCATTAAAGTATTAAAAATTGTGATTATAAGCCCATACTTCATGCTAGTAAGAAGCTAGAGCTTTCAAGGCTAGATCTTGAACTTTCAAGTATTTGTGTTTTAAGGAGAAACACAGGCATGCAAATGTTATTCAAGGTATCAGATCATTAAAATGCCATTTGAAAGATCCTGGCAAGACCTTTCTTAGGGCTACCTACAAGACAGGCTATGAAACTATATGATAGCTCCTGTGATAAAACAAGCCCTGTGGAGGCTGTCACAGAGTTTCTGATACTTGCTGGTATCATTTTCTGCTATTTATGTGCTATTGGTATCTCTCTTTTTTTTTTCTTTTTTTTTTTAAATTTAATAAAATGAATGTTATTCTGCTTTTTCTCCTGACTAAATAAAATGTTTTATAAAATAGCTTTTAAAAGGCCATTACCTTCATATTTGTTTCTGTTGGCTCATTTAAGTATCATAAACAAATAACGCTCCATTTTAACCCACAACACAAAACAAATACATTATTAAATGAAAATACTGGACAAGTGTACACAATAATTCGTTCAAATTAACAACCTTTGTCCTTTAATAATAAATGTTTAACATGCCTCCTTATATAATTCTAATTAATGCAGCTCCAACATAGCTGCAAATATGCAGTTAGTAATTACTAATAAGAGTTTCATCGACTCAAAAAACTTTCCTAAATATCAATAACTATATAACATTAACAGATATTTTAAGATATAGGTAGGCAGACAGATTTTTTTTCAGCATAACCAGTGTATTATCCCATTCTCTGTGTATACAAATACAGGCAAAAGATGACCTATCAAAGATATCTTGCTGTATTGCAAAGAGGAAAAAATGAGATTTTATCCACACTACTTTTCCTTGATTATGCTGTACCACCAGAAACAACCATACACTACTGCTTATTGAATCTGAGTAAATGGGGTGTAAATAGTTATATACATAGGAAAAGGCTTTGCTCAAAAAAGAATGGAAATCAAAGCAGGCAAAATTAAAAACACACTCTTAGCTGAAAGAACAAAGGTGTTTGGAGCAGAAAAGTGTAAAAATTACATTTTCTAAGATTTTTTTTGTTTGAATATTTTTCAAGTTCTCAATCAAAAGAGGCTATACATTTTGAGGATCAAAACTAGAAAGAGCCTATCTTGAAATACATTGTGAACTAACTTACTACAGCAACATCAGCATAGAACTCTCTACATCAGCACTTTAGACCAGATGTCCCTGTAGACCAACATGAAAACATACTTATGGCCCATCTTACCTATGTTCCTCACTAAACCTGAAGGGTCCGATGGTAGAGCTGCAATCAACAAAGGTAAATCTGGCACTTTTTTTTTTTAACATACACTTGCTTTAATTTCCTGTGCAGTGTAGGCTTCCAAGAACAAAATGAAATACTTCATTGTTTTCAACAAGTCTATAAAGTAGTATAGATTAGATTAATTAAAAAATATCACAAGAAGCAGAATTTTTTTCTCCTTTCTCCTCTGGGCGAAGAGAAGGGAACAGAAAACTGAAATGCAAAGAGGGAACTGATTGATATTTGGAAAAAAAAAAAAATCAATTTCAAGAGAATGAATGCCTAGTTACTGAAGGAAAGGATGATTACATGGGGGAAAAAAAAGAAAAAACCCACAGATTTCAAACAGAAAATGTAACTAAGAGATGTCCATCTAAAGAGAGTTAAAAGCAATATATCAAAATTTCAAGGGATGGAGTAGGATTGTGAAGTAAGAAAACGTTCATATTTGTGGTAAGCATAAGAAAAGAAACCATTAGAAATTAAAGAGGAAAAACAGGCACCTTCATTTACCAGAAATATATTTATATTTTATGAATACATAGCACGAATCAGTTTCAAAAGAAGCACTTAAAATAAATGTCTGAAGAAATGAAGTTCAACAGCTTAATGTGTTTTCTGAAGAACACCACATCCTGAGTCAGTAAGACTTTTCCACCAACAAGGACTGGTACGTGACATACACTGACCTCCTAGAAACTTGATGCCAACATAGAGGCAAACAGCCGCCTCAAGGCAGAATTTACCCTGTGTCTTTACAGTGGTGCAAGTTTGGAGAAGTTTGCAGTAAATGCACTTCATTTTCCAACTGGACCCTCTTACTTCATCAGCTTTTCCCATTATCTGTATCTGCAGGAGGCAGAAGCTCTTGCAGCCTGTTCTCCTGCATGCTCCCTGGTGACTAAGGTAGCAAAGGGCAAGGGGAGAAGGGGAAGGAAGGATTAAAAGATGAGGACAGTGGGGTTGAAGAGACTGTGGGCACAAGATCTATGATTCATGTTTAGGGAAAAGGGCAGTGCAGGAGGAGCAAGAGGCATGCTTTCAGGTAGCTCATGTGAGATAAAATGCTTCCTCTTTCTTCATTGTTATAAGAAATATGTGAAAATATAGCTCTAAAACTTGTTTGGGTGTCCACACTGTCTGAAGTTGAACCAGTATTGCCAATGATAATGAATCAAACACAGGAAACTGATAAAGACTGATAAAAGATGAAGAGCAGTAACACTGAAAATGAAAATCCATGAGAGATCACTCCTGCAGCAACACCAATTGATTTCTCTAACTGTGATAACTGCTAATGGAATAGAGAGTGCAATGTGTTGAGAAAACAGGACTTCAGGCACTGAAGTTTTAAATACTGAATATAAGGTAAGCCATTATTACATATTCTAACAATAGTAACATCCATCTCTTGCAAGAGATCCATGAGGGAACCAAAGTACAGTCAAGTTTTGTTTCTATGATAGTTACTTCCAGCTTATATATTTATAGCTTAAAAATTACATTTGTCATTCCTACAGCTGTTATGGAGAAAATAGCCAACATCATGATGCAATAGGTGACTTTCCACAATTTAAAATTTAAAAAAAAAAAATACTTACAAGTATCTATTTCTACCTTTGAATTTGCAGAAATAATTTTTCTGCCAACAACAGAATTTTTAGCTTGATCTTTTCACAGAAACAATAAGCTAATGAGTTGTTTTAAAGCTTTTTCTTAGAAACAGGAAAATGCATGCTTTCCTTGGCTTTGCTTTTCAGTTTCAAGCCTTTATTTCCTTTTACACATGAATTGTTCCAAAGCAAGATTTGTAGGATGCAAACACAAAACCACCCTTTACATACATTAAAAACCTAATGTTTTTGCAATTGCTAAAGGGTTGCCTAGTTGGGTTTTTTTTGAAAATAACAGCTGCACTTATAAGTATTAAGATTATTTTAGTGATGTTCTGCATGCCTACATATATTTATAGTAAAATCTAGTCCAATCCCCCTTCGCACTTAATATTACATCACTTTGCTCATTTATAAAGTACACAGAGGCATTTTTAGCTTCATAAATAAATCACCATTGCTGAACAACATAATCTAAATGTCTAAAGCATCTGTCATGTTGTGTGCACCCATTATTGATATTTGATCAGGTGTGCAACCATCTTACCATTTCAACAGGTAACAGGATGAAAAAGCTTAAAATACGCAAGGGATGCGGAAGAAAAAGGAGCCTGCTGGAAATATTTACTATGAGGCACCTTGTAGACTTGATTTGATTCACTTCTGTTTCACATTAGTGTAAATTAGGTGCAATTCAACTTGGAGAATTCATTGACAGTGTGGATGCCCACAAGAATAAAAAGAAGTTCCCCCCCGCCCCATATCTGTTCTTTATTTCAAGATAATCAGACAGTAAGTGTTTTCAGTTCAAAGAAGTCAGTTGGAGCCCTGTGCTGTTTCTGATATGTTTTCCATCCTTAATGCTGATGCAATGCCTTCTTATTGGGTTTGGTACCTCAAGGCTTTGGAATGATGTTACAATATATGTTTAAAGTTCCCTGTCCCTTGACTTCTCAATGTTACCTCAGACTCCATTTCCTCTTTAAATAATACAGTAAAAGAATTTCTAAATGTCACTCATTAAAAAGTGTACTCAGTTTAACCTTTTAAAAGTACACTAAATTCATAGAGATGCCTTAGAGAAGGGAATAACCAAAGCTTTTTTTCTTTTACCTTATCTTAAAAAATAATTAACTTAAAAACAGATTTTCCACACCTTTTATAACCCAGACTTTTTTTCACTCAGAGCCAAACTATCATCCTGTTAAAATATTAAAACACTAAGAGGTCCTAACAGAAAAACACACAAGATCACTGTAACATTAATATAACTCGCCAAAATCAGGCACAATTCAGAACAATTTCCTCACACATATCTTACTCATGCCATTAGCAACACTGACAGTACATCAAGGATTCATAGACACATTTTTAAACTATACTAGAGCCCAAGAATGAAACCCTTCCTTGTGTTCCATTTACAAGGGGGGGGGGGGGAAATGAAATCAAAATACAAAATTGGCTTACTTCCAGTATTATCAGCACGTAGACACCTACTAAGATGATGGACGCAATTGTTACTTGTGCCTCTATGTTTGCATGAAGGTATTGATGTTTCATGGAGAGAGGAACACTTCCAGACTCCTGTAAGAAAGCTTGAATGTTTATGAAGATGGTGCCTCTGGTGAAAGAAAGAGAAGGTTTGCTTATTTTTGGAATGAAATACCATTAGTTTTATTTATGCATTGATTTTATACTGAGTGCCTATAAATATATGTGTATGTGTTATATCTTCACAATTACAAGCAAATTTTCAAACATTTTCGCTCTATCCCTCTAAATAGCATTGTTTGGAAAGTAACTCAAGTACAAACCAACCTTGTAAATCCATTTAAAAAGCAAAAAGAAATCATCCTTTCCTGCCCTTCTGAAACAGGCAGTGATAGAGTTATTTTTAAAACATTATGTATTCCTTCATAGTCAAGTCTATGTAAACTACTACTCCAATGGATCATATCTCAGTCTCTTAGCCAACCTGTTTGGTATCTGAAAGATTCTAGTTGTGATGATTTGCTGATTTCTTCTTGAACTTAAGGGTAGAGACCAGTTGTATACCACCTGCAAGAGAGTCACATTTGGCAATATTAATAAAAGTCAGTGAAAGTGATATGTCTCTGATCTAGGGTCTTATTCCTCTTTGTTCTCTCTCCTGTCCATCTAGGAGAATTTTTTGTGAACAGGGCATAACACACACCAGCCCAAAATAATCCTACCCAATTATGTATGTTACAAATGCTCAGGTTGGAGCAAACTCATCCTTATTCCCTCACTCAATCAATGAAGCGAGAGACACCTCCAGGAGGTGCTCCAGAGAGGGGATGCCAAATCACACTTTGCATTGACTATAAGGAGCATCTAGGGCAGCTAGGCTCAGAGACAACAATATGGTTCACGCCCAAAGACTGCCTGGGAAGAAAGCTAACAAACATGAGGTACAGATGATGAAAAGCCCAGGAGCAACATCATGCCCCCAGACATTATGAAGAGGACATGGTAGAATTTCAGTAAACTAAATCCCTGTTTGCTGTTCTTCTAGCAGAGAAACAAAAAATCTTCAGAAAATAAACTTTCTGAAACTTAGCCCATTACTACACACTCATATTCATGCAAGTTTAGCCAAATATACTCTTTAAATGTGAATACAGATATTCTCTCTTTTTTAAGGAAGGGGAATTTTAAAAAACTTCCAATTTGGTTAATTGTAGCCTAAATCCTATGCCTGTCCTGACCCTGTATGCTACAAAGTGCAGAACAAAAACCAGTTTAATCAGCCAGCTTGGACCATCTGACACAGAGGAATGCCTGAGGAGCATGCAGGCAGGGAAGGTTAATTAGACTCCTTTGGTGCACTGGCTGCCTCACAGCAGTGCAAAGGCTGCTTGGGGATCACTGCCAGCAGCACAGGTTACGGCAGCCCTCCTCATCATGAGGGTGGGTGGTTTAAGAAAGTAATTGCCATTAAGGTATTGTTCGCCATGCTGAAGTAGTGGGACTAATCTTTTGCTGTAGACTGTGAGATTGGGGGTAAGCAGGAATACTGTTGGCATTGTTCAGCCGTCCTGTCACTGGTAAAAGCAAGCCATCCTGTCACGTATACAGAATGAGAGCCAGTCATTTGTATGCCAATGCTATTTATTAAATGATGAAGCTTATTTTTATTTTTCAGTGATGTACAATGACAGGCTGTAAAAGATCCTCCTTCACCAAGTTCTCTGGGAGAAAGCAGCAGGAACTTGTTACAAACAGCATCAACAATGAGAAAGCCTTAAGAGAAATAAAGCAAATAAATGTGACACATTTGAGAAAATAATTTGCAACAAAATGTGAAAATGTATTTCAGCGAGTGCAAAAAGGCACTTTGGACTCCTTTCTTCCTTCTAAGACAACTTTTGAAACATTGCCAATTTTAAACACAAGAACTTCCACACTAAGTATCAGTCAAGGGGCATAAGTTCTACAATATTTTAATATAGGAAGCTACAGAAAGTCTTATAAAGACAAAAGAAAATGTAATTTTACTCTTATTCAAAGAAGTTTTCTAATGCTGACATTGACATACTACACAGCAGGGAAAAGCACGACCACTTAATCCACACAACGGTAAGGAAATATAAGTGATAAAACACATCTCAGAAAAAGTGAAAGAAAATTTAAAGACCATCACCTGCTGCTGGCGTCTCCTCCTTGATCCAGCGTCTTCAGTCTGGCTGATTTGTACCACAATGTATTCCTCTGTTTGCTGATCAACTACATCTGCTACAAACGGGCCTCCTATGTCTAACTTCAACAGAGCAGAATCATGAAAATCAGTCAGATTCATAGCTGTTAATAAAGTTGTTAAGGTGTGAACTTCCAGTAAAAATTAGTATAGACTGTACAAATTCCAGGGGGAAAAAAAAAAAAAGATTAGTCAACTTGTAATGAAAAACACATTCTTCAGCTAAAATGCTTAAGAAACTATGAAAAGGAACAAAATAGATGTCTACTTCCTCAACAAGCAGCACTGTTTTGACTGGGTTTCCTAAGGAAACAGGAGTTACAGGTTCGGAACAAATACATCTGTCCTTTCCTAGTGACTTTTGAGAACACCAGTGCTTTTAGCTGACACTGTAGATGTACCAAAGCTCCAAAATAGCATATGGAAATACAGAGAGACAGAGAAGTAAGGCTCTTTAATTGCTTGTACTAGATGAAAGGCTGCATCATTAGCTCAGCAATTCAAACATCACAGAATTTGTACTGGGGAAAACACTGTGGAAGCTCCAACCACAGGGAAACATAAACCAGAATCAACATCCTGTTCATGCCTGGGGATTTGCTTTTTGGTCAAAATTTTACTCACAATTTTTCAAACATCTGAAAGACATATTTTCAAGCTCCTCTCAGTTGGAGTACTCACAGACTCTTTCTCCTCCAGCTCCCTTGTCTACTTTTTCTTTCTTTCTCTCTTGGATATCTAGCATGAGGTGTGGTCAAACTACATTCCTAGCATGATATAATTGAAAAATCAGCCAACCATGATCCACAAATCCGTTGGTAGTCTGGCTTCATTAGTCCCAATACATGTAGGACTATTTAAACTTAGAATTGTGATAGTCCACTTCTGGCATGGTTGAGAAAGAAGTGTCACTGTGGGTTTGGAGAAAAGGGAAAGCCTGAGCTTTTAAACCCTGCACAGTCCATTTGTTACTATAATAGGGCAATATTGTAATTGTTTTGCTCCTACCTGTGACCAGATAGAAAGTTAAGGCATCACCAAAAAAAACCCAATCCTAAGAAGGGAAAAGAAAAGACTTCATTTTACACATATATGTTCTGTTGAAATCATATGACTTAATCATATGCTTGAGTAGCTTAACGGTTTTAACATCTGACATTTAATTTAGCATACTGCAAAGAGTGAATCTCTTACAAAAAAATGTGCAAGATCACACACCTACCAGAAGGATCCTCCCAGAAAGACGTTTTGCTGCTCACAGAACTCAAGAGATTTTAACATGGAAAGAAAAAATACAGTATGATTAGAGGGGACTCGGGGCAGTGCTGTGTCCTGCTTCCCAGTGAACCCCAGTAAGGCCGCCCATGGTAGACCAGTCTCTAATGGGGAAAGCTTTGTGACATTACACCGGGGTCCTTCATCTTTAAAAGAGTTGTTGCATCTGTCCACATTCCCAGCAGGAGAACTGAATCTAGAAAAGAAATGTCTCTCACCCTAACCCAAAAAAGACCCTAGCAGATATAGTGGTAGGCAAGCAGCCAACACATTGCAAAGTAATATAAACGTCACCTCGTTTAGCACAGCGAGCAGAGCAATCACCACCAGTGTCACCCACATGTCGTTCATTAAGAATGAATCTCCCAAGCATCTATTTGCTTAAAGGAATCACACAGGAAAGGATAAAATAATAACCTCAGATGCAACAAATCAAACCACCAACTCCAATCAGGAGAATTTACACACACAGGCCTTAGCAAGTGTAATTACAAATTACAACAGTTTTCTTCTGGTTCTGAAGGTTTTAAGTGTGATTTGGCATCACAGATTTTCTGTGTCCTAATTGATACGTAATATTAGTCTCCACTGGAACTATAGCTATACCTTTAACTAGAGGCATTAATTATACCTTCTAAAAGGCCTGCTGACCTGAAGACATTAACCCAATGATTTGGGACACCTCTTGACAGTCTGCCTTTTATTAGCAGCGTAGCCAGTAATTTATATCTTGAAAAGATTCAGGTGCATACAATTATGGCAGCTTCCTTTCAAGCAATACTTTTAAAATAAATCCTGTAATTACCTAGATCACGCTTTCAGGAGCTATTATAAAGGATGCTTAAAATTAAAAGGGAAAAAAAAAATTAAACCCTGTTTTCAAGAAGAGTGGTTCCTTCCTTCTTTTCCTATAAAGATGGGGATACTGAAGAAGTTTTTCCATTCCTTTCTGTGCATTTATAAAACCACCAGAAAAGAGCCCTAGCGAAACAGGTTCTCCTTTGATTGCAAGTGGAACTGAACATCATTCAGCTGTCTGTATTGAGGCTCTGAAATCCCATCAGAGTTATCTTTCTCCAAACAATATTTAGAGACTCTGTCATAATTCTATTGTTAGACTGCAGCAAATCACAGCCTTTATGAAAGGTGGAATCAAAATAAACCAGGAGAAAACTTCAGCCATGCTTATATGAATCAAAATGCAATTTTTTTTATCAAGGTGCTCCTCAGAATATTTTTGTTCTGCCTTATCTTGGTTTTATATTGCCCTTAAATTGCCAGAATGTGATTTCCTCTACATTTTAATCATTCAGATGTGACTAACTTTTCGGAAAACCATCTTTTTACTTCTAATGTCCCTTTTTATTCGGCAACTTAACCATGCTGCGACTTTTTGCCTTTCTGAACTTTTCTTGTAATGTAGCTTCCAGTGTGTGCCTTTAAAGCAAAAAATCTCCCTGACAAGATTTACAGCCAGAGCTGTTATTTTTTATTTCACTTCAGCTAAGCTGCCTCATTTTTACGTAGTTCCATTCTTGAAATTATATTATTGCTGTGAATTATCCTGTCAAGGGATTTGGGTTTGTGTATGCTTTGTGCATCATTACACAGTGGCTGTCTGTATTTACATCTGGCACCAGACTGGCTCCACTGCTTAGAGCTAAACCAAGAGCTGTTTTTTCTGATCTCCATTTCCTGACTAGCTGCTCCTAGAAGGTATCAAAGGGTGTGCAAGAGTCACTTCTTGTCACTTTACTCTTTTGTAACTTATGTAGACAACATGATGGAGTGGGAAGCAGTGGCCAAACATTTAAATTAGTATTCATTCACCACAGTTTATACTTCTATACTGTGAACATCTGCATCTGAGTTGGTTACTCCCTTAAAATCAGTGAAAAGAGGGTGCTTTTAAGATGGAATTCATTGCTTCATTTTAGACCACCACACGAAGATCAGAGGAATCGCTCATGAGAAGCATCAGTTCTCTCTATTAACTGTAAAGAAAGCCTAGGATGACTGACTCAGGTGTAGCTGAGATGTGTCACTCCCTAAATACAGAGTCCTTGCTCTACCCTCCATCATGCCATTAATTCAGTGCATACAGAGCCAGCTGAAAAGCCATGATTGACAGAGATTCTCTGTCATATTTGCTTGCAGCTGGCTGACTTGATGCTTTCTTTAACATCTGCTTGTATCACCTACTCTGCCTACTGTAAAACATACCTTGAGAGTACTATGTCTATTGATTATTTTTCACCAAGTTTCTTTATATACTATTGATCCTAATTCATGACCAAGTCACTCATGCTAGTTTCTCTAGGATATTACCATTTAAAAGAAGGCAATTTGCCTGGGTCTTAGCATCTATTTTTACATGTTGTCCTAACTGGGGTTATTTCTGCATCATTCTTTGCAGTTTTCTCTTTTGATGTCCTATCCCTGTTTGTAGCTTATGAGGTTGTTTTTACATCATCCCTTCACAATATACCAAGTTGAACCACATGCTTTTCTATACCTATTGGTTTACCCATCTGAAGAATGCTCCATAACTTTTTTTTTTCTTTTTGGAGTGTCAGCAATCTGGTTCCATTTTTGTCTACATTGGATCCATCCTTTCCCTCTGTGCTCCATCAGTTCTAGAAGTTTTGTAAGTCCTTAATAAACTCTCTTTTCTACAGCATTTTCTCAATGATGCCTTGAGATTCTGCTTCTTTGCCTGCCTCTGCATGTGGTCCTGGTCTTCATCCATCTGCTTGGCATCTTGAACATTGCCTGCAGGCCAAAACACTTAGTGTGTTTCCAACAGCTTCAACAAACATAAATGATTTTTAAATGTGTTCTGAAAGGAAAAATGATGGAGGAGTGTCTGACAGTAGAGACCTAGAGTTACAAAATAGAAAAAACATCAAAGGAGAAAAAGAACTAAAGGGATTAGAGAGGTTGTTTCATTCATTAAGTTAATTTATGCTCCCTGGGAGAAGAACCCATTTTTAGGACCTCCATGGAAACTGAAAAGTCTGCTAAAATCCGACTATATTCTTTGCTTCACAGTCTCTCTTCCTATATATACCTCTGGTTCAGGGAGTGGGAAAGGTGATTTTCAGTGTCACTAATGGTCACGGCATGATTACAAGTTTTCCTAGTGACTTCTTGCTCCATGATTAACACAGTTGCACCAATCATTCAAACTCATGCAATTTCAGCAAGGAATCTGATAATAAGGTCAGCACAGTTACCCATTTTATGTCTGTTTGGTCTAGAGCCTCCCCATCAACTTCCATATGTGGAATTGTTCTAATTTGTTCCACTGAATCCAAATGAAATAAGAAATCTAGCCTATGGTGTAAACTTCAACATAATATTGCTATTGAGATACATCTTCTCCTTTCTGAATTTGAGATCTTAATCCTGGACTGGATGTGATGAAATCTCTCAGAGCTACTGAGGAGGGAGGTAAGTCAGTGAAAATGGCCACTGACTAGTCAATTTGATATCTCTCATTTTCTCTGGTTTGGACTGACTGGAGACCCATTTAGCCATGACTTGAGATGATGTATTTTCGTTAAGTTTTGTTTTGCAAGTAAAGAGCAAGTGAGTAAGGAACCCTTCACACTGGGTGCTGTGCAAATGTATACCTTGAAAAATGCCAGCCCTTGCTCCAAAAACTTTACTGAGGAGATATCAAACATTTAAAGCAAACAATCATATCAGAACTGAAAGGCTTTTAAATGTATTTATAAAAATGCAAGATCCTTGGCCAGACACAGAAAGAATTCACAATCCACTCCCCAGTTATTATCAGGTTTCAGGTCCAGGAGAAGGAAGTTCTGACAATCAGTCTGAAAAAGGAAAATGCAATTGCTTTACCTAGACTGATCTAACTTTCCCTCACCTACAACAGGAGCTGGCATAAGTACAGAGGTTGAGAGGGAAGCAAACAAGACTGTTACTGAAACACTTGTCAGGAACAGAGCAAAGATGGCAATTCACAGCTCAACAAGGTAGGTGTGAGATCCATTGCACAGAAATACGCTGGAAGAAGATTTTTCCTTTTCTTGTAAAAAGAAAATATTTCTACTATTGAGAAGTGTGGAAATAGAAATACTTGTATCAGGTACAGTGAAAGAAAAGAAGGCATTGTATCAGGGAGACAGACACTTTTTTAAATGACAGTGAGGTACCATAGAGTTTGATTGCATAATTCCTTAATAGCATCCACAAATTCCCATTACTTTTTAATTTCATAGAGCCCAGTTCAATTCAAAAAGTTAGTGTACAGTTCTGCTCCAGCTGTCTGTTCCCCATTGCTGGAGAAATATTTAAAATTTTGCTTAGATCAGGGCAGAAGTTATTAGAAACAAAGGAATGAACACGGAGTATATTTAGCATTTCAGAAGTTTCGTCAAGTCTGAAAACCTAAGTTGCAGAGAACAAGAATATTTCTCATTCACTCTTTGGTCAACCAGTTAATGGAGACAAGTTAACTGGAGGTTTGAATGGCCAAACAGTTACAGAAAATAAATGTGTTCATGTCTTAGAATAGGTACATGTAACTAAACTAAGAAGTGCTAGAATTTATTCAGACTCTATATCTCTTCTATTTTTATAATCTGCTTTCCAAAGGCACATCATCTTATTAATTATTGATGCTACCCACTTAACATACAGCCTTTGAGCAAAAGACCTGAAAATGCTTCACACATTTACATCAATAGGGGTATTGAACCTTGCTTCGTGCAGAAAAGGGTCCTCTAGCCAGGCTTCAGTATAAACTTACTTCTTTCTGGTATTAGCGAGCTGGCTGTTAGAATTTATAAGCCAATATATCCCAAGTGTTGTCAAAAAGGAACAATATTACCACTATTTTGAGAAACTATACTAACTCCACTGAATTTGTATCTGGTGCCAATAGGGAAATCAGTATTAAAAAAAAAAATTAAAATTAAAAAAAAAAAAAAAACCCGACCAAAACCTTACAGACTCAAAAAGCTTCTATTAATTCACAGGAGGCAAGATGTTGTTTTCAGAAACTGCAGGCAACACACCTCAGTGCTACAAGCCAGGTTCATACCCATGGGTATAGGCAAAGCAAAGGGAGATACAAATGGGCTCATATAAAAGAAAATAATGGGAAAAAAAACAGCTAAAGTAAATCCAAACAAGAGATAAGGGCATAGAAACATAAACAAACGGGAACTAGAGCAAGTGGAAAAGTGCTAAAGAGGTGTCATATGAAAAGCAGGTCACCCCCACGCCAGCTGATGCAGGTCTCTCCCAGCACCAGAGACAGAAAGTCCTGCCTCTGAGCAAGCCTGAGATCTAATGGTCATGACAGAAAAACCACAAATATCTAAGCAACACTAGGATGAAAAAGGATATGAAATCCAAAGGGGATCACTTGATTTCATTTTTAAAAGTATTTCAAACTTTGTTTTGATTTTTCTAGTGTATGCAGACACATTGTATGCATGAGCACACATCCATAACACACACAGGAATGTGCATGGGCATTTCTGGAAAGAAATAGAAATGAGAGGAAGGAATTTTAAAAAAAAGGATATGGTGGTTACACATTCAACACTTAACAGCTTTTGAGGCATAAGCAAGAGGTAAAGAGTGTTCATTTGCATAATTGGCATCACATGAGCTATAAGACTTATTTTCCACCCAAAGCAGTCTCATATAATAACCTCTAAGGATTTTGTGACAAGGACTGCTGCGGCACACCTGCCAGCCTACCATGAAATTATTCAAGACTTTCAGAGAATAGCGCCTAACGGCCACTGGGAATACCGCAATCTGTCAGCCAGCGTAAATCACATCTTCAACACTACTGTGTGAATGGTTAACGTTATCCAAGCCTAGCCAAAAAGGTGAATACTTTCTTCACTATGCAACAACGTGGAGGACAACCACGTGATCTAACTTCTGCACAAATGAAGACCGGCAGCAACAGTGAGAGGATATTCAGAATTGCTTATGCCTTTTCCAAACCTCATTTAGAAATGCAAACTTTCTCCTTGGCCCTTCTGCTTGAAATACCACGTTACCTTGAAAATGAAGCATGGCTTTGTTGGATTGCTTGCCTCTCACATGTTTTTCCCCAGCTCAGTGACCTCAGGCAGGGGACAGAACATCCAGTTTTCAACACACATGGCACAAACTAAGAAGTTTCAGCTCCAGGTTTGTGAAGTAAGAAAGGGGAATGCTATACTCTGACTGTCTGACAGCTCTTTGGCTCAAAGCATCCTGATGTGATAGGTAAAATGTGAAATATAGGAATACTTGTTTGTGCTCAAGTCCCAGTCCCACCAGCTCTTCCCTGAAACAAACAAAAGGAGTAACTGGTTGCAGAGTCAATGTGTACAATTGGCAGCTATGGTTCCAACCCAAAACCTCTGGAAAGAGAGGAAATCCTCAAGCTATGCTATGACAGTTGACTAAAACTTGAACTTAAAGACTCACTGCCAATACACTCTTGTTTGGCAGACTGGGCCATGACAGCCCTGGCGCTGTTCAACACCACACATATACAGGAGCTTGCAACAACAGTTTCAAGGAGGACAAAAATACTGATGTGAACAGGATATTGATGGGAGTTTACAGTTGAAGTTGTCACTGGTTCTACTAAATGTTCACTTGCTTTCCTCCAAAAAGCAATCTCAACTTTTAATTATAAATAGCCCTCAAGCACTAACCTTTTCTTCTTCATTTACCCTACTAATTATTGTGTTATATTGTGTCATTATTGGCGACAGTGAGAGTGCTAATAATCAAATCTATTTAAAATGCACTCTCCCTGCTCAAAGCCATGAAACTGCCCAGTTAAATAGAAAAATTCAGCATTTCGAAAATTAAAACTTACTACACCTTTTCAAAACAAGACACCCCCCAGAAGCTTGCAAGATATATCTATAGGTGAATCACGTTTTAACACTAGTGAAATAAGAGCCAGGCAGATTGTGGACCAGACTGCTTAAACTAGAAATATAGTGGGAACAAGAAATGTAACTTATTTGCAAAAGTTTTTGTTTGTTTACTGACTGAATATTCTTCCTCGGACTTTTCACATTCAGGTCTGCATTTACCTGTGATGAACTATTTTTATTTTGGGTTATTCTATTGCTTGTTCTTTTGACCAGTTTCTTGGCAATCTGTGGACTTAAATTCACTATTGAGCAATTTTGCATGGAAAATTTGTGAAAGAATCTGCACCTCCACTGAAAAATATCTACAGATCTACAGATCCATACATATGGCTGGGCTAAGCTGTTCTGGAAACATATCCGTGAATCATCTAGTTTTCTGCTTTTGAAGGAGGTCACTTCACTGGGTAACATCATGGTCCAAGTATACACTACAGATACGTTACAGATGACACTGTACAACTGGTCTGGGGTGCCGTTGCTGCAGCCAGGGGCATGTCCTAGCCATGGTCACAGCTATTTGTTGTGTCTTGATCCCACTGGGTCTGCAACCCACTTCCAGACTGTTGGCTTCATGCAGAGATTGGACACAAGGACTGGATGGGCACCACAAGGCGCCCCAGACAGGTGCCATTCAGTATGACTTGGATAGGGGGCACAGCTGTGACCTGCGTCAAAGGACACATCTAAGTGCAGCCCAGGCTCTGAGGACACACAGTCCTCTCAGGGTATAAGCCAGAAAACACCCACCCATTCAACCAGTTGATCAATGAAACTTCAGTTCAGGTTCAGGTTTGGTTTGTTTGGGTTTTTTTCCAATGAAAGAAGGATACAGAAGCTTTCCAGAGGCGATACAGCCAACATCTGCCAGGGCACACCTTGATCTGGATAAATGCCAAATAAAATCTAGGGCAAGGATAAAAACCAAACATTCATTAATAACACAAAAACTGAAAAATACCTGCTAAGCCTATCTCAAATACTTAAACAAGACTCTTTCAAACTGTACATTAAATTGCGAGATTCCTTTCAGTATTTTCACATATGTTTCCACCACAGCTGAAAATTAGCCCTGGGATACTTAACAAGGACGAGTAATATTCCTTCTGTAAACTTACTGCCAAAGTCACATATTTTATGTATTTTATGCAAGTGTCTCTTAGGACAAAGTTGTAATCCTAAGGATCTATCTGGAAAGCAACACCCCCATCTGAGGAAATACAGAGTGTTATCTATTTTGTCTCTGATACAGAAACTCTGCTAGCCAAAATAATGTTCCTCATAGCAGCTAAAAGGATAAACTCCAACTTTTTGAAATGTTTCTCAAGTCTTGCAGTCTAAGATTTTGGTAGGGGAGGGCAGCATTCTGCCAGCCCCAATAGGAAGCTGCCTACCTCCCCGTGGCCTTCTGCCTTTCGCACCATGGAGCACTGCCATTGCTGGTGCATCCTTTCCAGCACAGCTTTTCCTATGAACATTGCTCAGGTGTTAGCCTGTTAGCCAGTATTTAAAGGCTCATCCTAAATTCAACAAGCAACTGTAAAGGACATGCATCCAAATTTGAGTTTAAGCTGCCTCCTCAAACTCAACTGCTTACCCTACCATATTGTCCAGGGTGGTAGCTAGTGCACCAAACAGTGATTCAATTAGGCATGAAGCCCTGCACAGCATTTTCATTTTTTGCCATCTTGCCCCCACCCTCGAGACACTTTTTTATTAGCTAAGATCAAATATCACACCTCATTTTGAACTAATTCTAAGGAAATGGGTGCTGAGGGAGGACTGTAAATTCAATACTTACAGAGCAGACAACTACAAAGATAAAAAGGCATGAAACTTTTAGGAATTTTAGACAGCATCTGAAATGTAAGAAACATATATTTACTATATGGCTAGTTTAAAACAAGTCTTTTCTCTTCTCTTAATCGCTCTGATATTTCAGAAGTATCATGGTAAGCACTAATGGGTGATGATATACCATGTCAGAGTATGGATACCACAACGCAGGATCAACAGGGGCTTGGGAAGCCTCAGTGACTATAAGTGCTCCTGCCCCAGGTCTGCTGCCAGCTGGGTCTCATTGCACTGGAAGGAGGTTTTACCGCTCAGGAAATCTGAGTGAAGGCTGCAGCATGAGCTGGTGCTGGGACCTGGAGCCACTTCGTTGCTGCTGCCAGACCCCGACAGACCCAGAACCCCATCAGCTCGCCCTGGTCTGTCCCAGGGAGACAAAGGAGCATTGCCACCTCACAGATGTGGCATGGCCAAGCAGAAAGCTTATTGCATAGAGAGGTGGTGTCATGAACTACTTCCTCAAAACTGGACTTCTAATATACATCCTGAAAGGTATTGGGAAAAAACACTTTGAAGACGAGAACAAGCCTTAAGAATCTCCTGGTTTTAATAGTGTCTCTTTAAACCAAATATACTTCATGAGCATCTCTAGATAAACTGACTAGCAAAACTAGATCTTTTTTTCCATAGCACATCTGTGCCCTTTGAAGGAATGCCCAGTTCTGGAGATGTGATGCCATCAAATCTTCTGAAGTGTCAGAGCTTACTACTGAGTGCGTTAAGCAAGAATAACTCTAAATTAAAATGTGGATGTTGAAAATGCATGCTCTTGAGCAAGAAATCTTAAGATTTAGCACTTTTAAATTAGCATTTTTTTAATCTTACCATAAAAGGCGACTCAACTAATTATTTTCTGGCTGCCCATAAGTATGTAACACAGATGTCTTAATTTACAGAACTCTTTTTGGTGATTTGCCCTTATTACATCTTTTCATTAACTGAAGGCATTGATGTTCTTATTCCATTTTTTCAGAAGTAAACATTCAAACATTGCAAACATGTCCACAGAATGACAAATGTAAGGTTTGATTTAAGCCTGACAAGAAGCAAGAAGTAAAACATTTCAAGTTACTAGGATAATTAGTTGAGAAGGGAACCGTGTAACATATAGCTGCATTGACAGATGCTATAGAACAAAATATTAAAGAGTAGTAGTCTAAAGAGAGTCAGAAATAATTTTTAATCACAGTAGAAATAAGTCCCTAAATCAAGTTTATCAACTGAAAGCAACATAAGTGACTGGAGACACATTTTTTAAAAACATTGTTTTCTAAAGATCCCTTCCTCTTTAGAATTCTCCAAACAGGCAGGGAAAAAAACGCAGCTAATGTTGCCACAGACAACCTGGTACAAAGGGGCTACAAAATCCTATGAAATACAAGTGGTAGCAACTTTACACAAACTTTGCACACATAGAAATCTAGAGAAGGCAGAGGAAGAGGGGAAGGATGCCAGTTATGCAGCTTCTTCCAGAAATACCAGGTAGTCTTGCTCTACTGAAAAACAAGGTGGCAGAGAGGGGGAAGAAGAAAATAAAGGCTTGAAAAGAGACGAATGACAACAAAAGCCATTATCAGCACCTCATAACTGATAACTTCTTTTGGTATTGTGTGATTTATGGAAAATACCTAGTGCCAACTTAGTCATGCATCCTCTATCCTGCTTGTCTATTCTCCCTATCTCTACATTACAGTTCTATTCTGGTATTTTTGAGAATTTATTTAATTATGAATTACTAAAGCCCAGTCCAGATTGGTTTAGTTTTAATGTACTTCATATTTTCTGTTTGCACTTTGAAATTATCATTTCTAATAATAATAATAATTCAAATTATTATTGAAACAAGAAACAGGAATAACTTGATTTTAAGACATAAGAGAAATCAAAAAACATTAATTAAGTCTTTATAAATTCAACCACTTGTCTGTAAATAACAGAAACTCATCTAAAGGAGCTGGCAAGTGATAATAAAAAAGCTTTTGGAAGTGGTTATTTTATTAAATGCAGAATTTAGAAGGCTTTTTTCCTCCTGTCTGTTTGTTTTCGTGGCATTCTGTATTAGGGAAGCAGCGCTTTTAACAGCTTACAGTTGAGAAGTGATCAGCCTTTGACTCACCCGTGGTTTGCAATCTGTCTCTTCCTACAGCGCTAATCTGGCACAGCGATGCAAGTACAAACCCTGTGCCAAATCCTGTGTTGATATATGCCTCTGGTGCAATCCTATTTGACTTCAGTTGGAAATGCATGAAGTATAAATCTATGAAGGATTTCACCCTCTGTTCTAAACCAAATGACTTTTAGTCTGATCTGCATGTGGTGTCAGGCAGTTTAGCTCCATTTATTGTCTCAGCAGAGTTATGCTGATTTACAACAGCCAAGGAGCTGGCCCCATACGTACAACCCACACTATAGCAACGAAAATATTTCATGGGAAGTTCTGCCAGAAAAACACTCTACTCCACAGATTATAAACCTACGCTGTACTGGAAACAATGGATTCTACACTCCCGCTCGATGCCTTTGTTCCATCAAATACCAGGGAACGTTACCACGAGCGTGAAAACAGATGCCTGCCAAACTTCTTCACATCTGCTCATATTGCACTAATTGCAGCCATCGAAATCCTCCTGCTCCATTTGTTCAGCAGCAGTGCAGGAGAGCGGCACTCCACACAGCACCATATGCATGATGAAAGGAGGAAAACAATTGTGAAGTGATGAGCTAAGACAACATACAGATCGGGGAAAGATGCACAGACATCTCATCGGAAAGGCTCCGCGGATCAACACGGAGATGGGGACATGCTGAGCTGGGCTCCATGCAAATCTGCAGGGCTATTTGCAGAGGCCAAACAAAATTAGTAAAAAGTGTTGAAACTCTGGAAGGGGCAGAGAGAATTAGTATTCAAGATTGAAGGGCTTGCTAGTTAAATCCCAGGCAAAAATATCGCACTGGTATCTTTTAATATACTAACAGATTCAATTTCCTCCATGCCTAAATGAGGTAAAAGACTACTTTGAGGTAAAGAGTGAAATATATTAATGTACTTAAAGATAGAAAAATGCTCAGTTAGGTTTTGCATTGTGTATATATTAAAAGCTGCTATAATGACTATAAGAAGACTGTGTTAGATACATATTTTAATTAAGGTGAAGTATTTCATAAAAGCCACAAAACACTGAAGAATAAAGCTCTGGAATCAACCAAGGAGGTTTAAGAAATGGTTTCAAAGAAATGTTAAAAGCAATATAGAAGGTATTTAGTTACAAGTTTAGAATAGGTGTTATGACTGATGCTTGTAAGAACAACGGGCTATTGATCACTAGGTAGAGGCTGTAATCAATTTCACCAGGGTTTATTTATAAACTATCAATGGCAAGATATGGCCTAAATATGGAGTGTTATTTTATTCATTTGCAGAAAATAAATAATTTTCTAGACATCTATACTTAAAAACTAATCCCTGCAGAAATAAATTTTAAAAAAAAGGGAAAAAGAAATAAATGAATGTTTGAATTCAGACCTCATCTTTGATAAATTGAATTTGACATGAAGATTGTCCAAGATTTCATATTTCTCAGAAGAAGCAGATCTGGACAAACTTGTCATTTCACTTCCCAGTTGAAACCTTTGCTCAAATTCTGCAGAGCTGTTGTCCCATGAATCATCATCTGTGGCAAAATCTGGATTATGAAGAGCCATGCACTGCAACCTGTCAGACATTTTCAGTAAACATGATAAAACAAAACGGTGGTTTATTTCAACAGATAGTAGATGCAACTGACCTTCCATATCCTTAGGTTCACTGTGAGAGATTTTAATAGAAAAAAAAAACCATAGAAAGAGATTTGTTCAGTACAGACCGAGTTTCCCTTGATTACACAGCTGGGTAGACTGGGGAGCGAGAGCAAAGACCCCATGACATTGAGATGCACCTGGGAGAACCATCTCTCTGAAGCACCAGGCAGATGTACCTCAGGATTTGGTGTGTAAAGCCCCGTTTTCTATAGCTCTGCTGTGTCTTTCAGTGCACCTGATGTAACACCACATGAAGGAAGTAAGAGCACACGACTTGCATTTGCCTGTCCTTCGGGCTCTCTAATCACCCTGACCTCAGACCTTACATTCTTCCCTTCCCCATTTACAGCCCCTTCTTTATACTCAAGGCTCTCCAGAGCAATTCTCTGCTCACAACCCCTGCCATTCACTTTATTTCCCAGCAGGTTTGGTGTCAGGATATAAGAGCGAGCCATGCACAATTAAATAGAAGAGAGCTTAGAAAAAAGTATTTCAAGTAAAATGAAAGTAACTCACCCATTTTCCTCTGAGGAAACCTTCAGTAGTGGTGTCTTCTCTGTAAAGCCAGTGTTTTTTGACCTTAAGCTGAATAATTTGGAAAAATTGAAGTGATATCTTCGGAGGGGAAAAAAAAAAAAAAAAGGAGAGAAGTAAGTCTGCAGTACAATGATTCACTACAGTTCTACAGAGCATTTTGCTACAAGTGCATCTAACTGATTAAATTTTCTTTAAGAATGGTGTTCACCTAAATTAAGGTTTTCATTAAGTTTGAACTAGTCGTGGTAGTTACTTCCTTATAGTCATGGAAATAAGAGAAATTTATCTTATCCTAAAAGCAGCATCTAAAATAGTCATTTACATTCCCTCTGAATGTCAGAAGAGCAACAGACACCTAACTGACACTCACATGCTTATCGTTTAGACACCTAAATTTACAGTGGAACAACCGCACTGTAATATTAGTGAGGCAAAATTCTAAAGGTAAATGATTACATATATTCATATAAGTTCACATGAATGTACTTCATCAAACATAAAACAATAGGATAATTTCTATGCCGTAAATGACATTTGAGGCATGGATCACCAGAAATCTGCTAATTTCTGTAACAACCTCAGCACTCTTCGTATTAGGGAAGAAAGCTTCATCTGAAGTACAAGTAAGTACTTCATTCCTGCAGCACAATCCCTTCCAAAGAGTTTCTGTCAAGTCTTGGTCCTGGTGCTACAGATAATTAACAGAGAGTAAGCTACTTTTTTCCATATTGGAGCTTAAGGTTGTTAAGAAGCCTTTTGCTAAAATATAAATCCCAAAGCTTAAGAAACAGCTGAAGAGAATCAAGCACAATCACAGGGGTCTGGCTTTGGGGCAGGCTTCTGGGAGAGATTAAATAATTGAGCCATTTTAGAACACTCTCCAAGATCTGGCTCTTCCAGAGACATTTCCCATCAAAAGCACCATTATTCAGACGCACGCAGATTTATTCCATTCAAAACTGCAGCCACCCACCACCAGGAAGTCCCGAAGAAATCTGCTAGACATATGGTCAGTATGCAGATCTCATTACTCCCACAGACACTTAGAGGAAACCTAAAATGTCTTATGCTCTTGCTGGACTGTGAGGGGAAAGAAATTGTAAAATCATAGCCAACTAAATAAATATACAAAGGTGACTGGTAGTTCAATCTTCTAAATATAAGGCCAGTCCAAAAAGAAGGATCTGTGTATTTAACTTTATAATGGAAAACAGTAGAATTTCTTGCAATTTGTAGAGGTATGCATGAACTCAGACTTTGTAAAATTAAAACCTCCAGTTAATGCTTCAGCTTGCTTGTTTTGTAGCGTTATCACTCAGAAGCCATGCTACGTGTTGAGCAACTGGATATGGTTATTTTAGCCCTGAGTGGCCACAATGCTCATTCAAACTCTGCTGTAAGCACCGTATTTGCAGTCTCAACAGAAGAGAATGAATGAGTTAGAGAGACTGAATTATCCAGTACCTCAGGTCACATGTTGAGCAGATTACAATTCAGGTGCTACATTGCACTGACACTTCATCTGTGAAGAGATGACGGCATATTCTGAAGCTATCGAAGTGCTTCCTTTTTTAAATAGGAGAATATCATTCACACAAAAAGTTTAAGTAGAGAAACTCTGGTATTTTGAAGCAAGTGCTATTCTAATCTTATCATGGGCTTAGATGTAAAAGATTACCTAGAGCTTTTACAAAATGGAATCCATAAGGATAGCAAAAACACTATCAGGACTTTAAATGTGTGCTCACTAAGCAGTATTGATACACTCCTGGCTAATCCCGGCATCCCACTACATTCAAAGTTTGCATCCAAAGGCAACAATTTTAATAAAAATTCTGATGGTGGTCCTTGAACTTATACATTCAGAAATTTAAGTCACTCAAAGACTGATTAGCTGTTTCTGCCTTTAAACAAAATGTTGCCACTTGTTCCACATATATACTATATGCTGTTCTGATCTAACCTTGCATTGCACACACCATTAACATGTCCACACTTACTTTTCTTCTTTTCCTCCTAGGACATGTGCAAAATCTGAGAATAGTAACCAGAAGACTTTCTACAAAAACTTCCATTTCCTTCTAGTTATTAGAGGTTGATAACCAACACTACTTTGTGCTACATAGGCATATGTATATGTTCTGACAATCCGCCACCTCAGCAGGTCTTCACCACTACTGTGGGTGACCAGTATGTAAAGAGTGCTGAAGGGCCAAGCAACCGCAGCAACCAGAAAGAGAGGATAAAGGTTTGGCGGGAGGTGGTTTAAATGACAGAACCTGAGGTGAAGGATCCAGAAGGCTAAAGACGTCACCTTCACTTTCTTTTTGCACATTTGTTATCCCCACTTGCTGGTAAATGTCTTGCCACTTTCTAACGGAACTGTAGAACTCCACAGATTGACAAGAATGGCCAATACAGTAAAATGGAAAAGGTCTTCAGATAAAGTGAAAACAATTAGTACATGACAACATCAATTTGCAGAGAGTAAAAACACATGGACAAGAATAAGCAGCAGGAAACAGCCAGGCTTGACAAAATAAAAATAATTAGAGAAAAAGCAGAAGAGCCTCAACTCCCCCATGATGTGATTACTCTAATTAGAGAATGAGAGTAATATAAACAATAAAGCTAATTAAGGCATAAAAGAATCTTGAAGGTTGAAAGCTCTAGAAACAAAAGTTGAAAAAACATCATGAAAAAATAGCATGGATTATAAAAATGAAAGTCATCCCTGAACAGAGAGCCTAATGCAAGCCCTTCTGTGCCTCTCATACTTCTGCAGAGACACTATGGGTGCGATTTGGTCATCCACTTCATCAAAAGATAACAGAGAACATCTGCAAGCAAAACCTAGGAAGGCCCAAAGACCCCCTGCTATTAGAAGAGCAAGCCTGCAGTACTCAAAACCCCTCCTAGCATCATTCTTGGTGCTCCTCAGCCCTGCAAGTGGCTGGCAATAGTGACACTGAGTAAATAAGGGGAAGAAAACAGTGTGACGCATTTTAAAACCTAGGATCAGTTTACATTTTGAATGTTTCTTCTCAATCAAAAGAGCTAGAAACTTTGGTTATACCTACATGCTACAATGGAGTGCAATCTATCTCTACTGAGCAAATCGGCAACATTACCAAGGATCTAGTCACCAGCTCAGCTAAGCTGGACACCAGTTGTGTCCACTGATCCTCTCTCATGGTTCAGACTCAAAACTCATTAGTTTTTTTATACATCAAATATGAGAAGAGACACTAAATAATTTCATTTACAAATGTATACATTTATATGTAGATATGCACATAGATCTTCACACAAAAAACTAACATTCTCATTTCCTTTCATTCAAAAGTGATGAGAGAAAACTAAAACTAAAAGCTATGGAAAAAAGTATTTGACAAGGACTTCTTCAAAGGCTTACAAAGCATCACTCATATGGAAAGATCCATGTAGAACTGACATCAGAAAAAGAAGAGCATGTCCTGCCTCCTGCACAACCACAGCTGTGACCACATTCATTCTCACATTTGCCACAGTTGGGCATGTTTTTTTAATTAAGAGAAATCTTTCAAACAGAAGATTGTGTTCTTAACCACTTGACTACTGCTGTGACAGTCATATATACAGATTTTTGCTCTCTCTGCAGGACTATAGGTTTGTTCCGATGAAGTGTGTTTTCTGAGCTGGTTACTTGCAGTCAAAGTCATACTTTCCCATTGCTAATCTTTCAAGCAATTACAATTTCTGACTGTCTCCATAGTAACCCAGAAGAGGAAGCAGCATCGCAGGAGGGCTGTCCACACCCCAGATGATACAGCAGGTTCTGCCAAGTCATGGAGGTGTGCACAGATGAAGCTCCAGTTGCCTGACAGCAGCTGGAGAAGGATCTCACCCACAGCATTAAAAAATACAGGGCTCCAAATGCAATTACCGGACATTTATTGCAGAAGCCCCCAAAACCTGTGGCTGTGCCACTGCTCCCACGGATGAGCAAGGTTCACACTCTTTTGGTGGTAATTTGTACTTCTCTACAGGTGTACACCAGAGATATGACCTTCAATCTCCTACACTTATTTGAGCAGTTTAAGGAGAAGCAGGATCCCCCTGCCCTCCTGGCCATGTGGAGAGGTACAGCGAGAGCAGGAGAGGAAAGGAAGAGACGTGCAAGACTCCAGTTGCTCCCACTGACAGGCCGATGACTCCTTGGACGTTATTCAGAGTCGGTGGCTGAAGACTGCTGCAGGTTCCACCTACAACACACTGCTATTTCTCATTACCTTCAGGTGATAACTTCCGAAGTCTTCAGGAGACTTTGGATGAAGTCCAAAGAGAGAACTCGATTCCTGCCGTTGAGCACAAGACCCGCCCCCTGACCACTTTTTCAGGCATTTCCTAATCTCTTTACACATGCCACTTTAAACAAAAGGAAAAGAAAGACTTTGTGGTAGCAACTGTTGTTCAGCAATAAGCAACCTTTCAATCCCAGATACACTACAGCAGAGGACACCAAAAGAAGTAAGCATCCTACAAGAACTTGAGGAAGGAAAAGTCCATGCTCATCCTAGTTAGCTGGCAAACACTTAAAATAATCACTAGATTTGGCTGGAACCTATTATTTAGCCTTGTATTGAAAAGATTAATCATACCACACAATGCATTAAGTTTTCACTCCCTATAATAAAAAGCATACATTTTAAACATCAGCTAATATAATGCTTCATCTGCCATATGCTACATTGTGCACATAACTATCAGTAAAAGAGCTATTTCTATGACAACAGAGAGCAATAATTCTCACTTCGACAGAAAGGATTTGGTCAGAATTGAAGAGGTAAATACGGAAACATATGTTTTCACGCAAGATCATCAACAGTTTTTAACATAGCTTATTGGAAATTTTACTATATAAACAATTAAAAGCAGAATCCCTTCAGGAAAAAAAAAATAGCATGCATCCCTGAATTAATAATCACTAAAACCATTATAAGTGTGAGGTTGCCTCTTAAACAAAATTCCAGGAATACTACTGAGCCAAGAGATTATAACAAATACAGTAAAAATTTAAGCAAAGTTTTCTAGAGAAG